TAGCACCATGGCATCCACCTCACAAAGCTGGCCTTATCCTGGCGTTGGCCTAATACTGGCGTCGAAGCAACGCCGCGGAGAGCGTCCCGCCTCTCCTATGACAGGCGCCGTGCAAGATGCCTGCCGCCAGACAACGTCCACGCGCTGGGATCACTCCGGGGTCTGTACGGCTGGTTGTCCGGTTCGTTCCAGCGTACTCCGACAAAGTCCGTTCTGTCACAATCTGCTGAAGATAGGCGTGAAGTTCAAGTGGACTCGAGAAGTCGACCAAGCCTTCCAAAGCGTCAAAAGGGAGCTCAGATCAGAAGGGATTCAGAGCGTCAGAGCGAGCGTTCCGTATAACCCACCCGTGTAACCCACGTCTTCAGACGTCCGTCACTTCTGACGCCAGTGACGATAGAGCCGAAGCTGTGCTGTCTCAGCTGCAGCGGGACGGCACTGAGCCAGCAGCCGCCTTCTGGTCACATGCCCTCACTAGCGCAGAGAATAGGTACTCCGATCAGAGACAAAGGCTCTGAGTGCCGTTAACAGCAGTGCAACGCGAAAAGATGTATCTGTGGGAATGTCAATTCGCGCCAACTCGTCGTTTGGAACTCCGGCTGCTACGGGACCAAGCTCGAAAAGGTTGACCGGCGACTGCGAAGCAGTGGTCAAAAGTAGTTGGCAACGAATGGATTTGGCAGTACGTAGATCCACGTAGGTCCACGCACAGACATAGATGTCCACCCAGCGTTCTTATGAGAGACGGCCAGTGGGTTGCTTCGTTCACTGACGTTTACGGGCTCGATGACGCTTTCTCGCAGAAAGCTGTCTAGTTCAGCAAACACCGGGACTAGCCCAGCGGAGGCGGATGACGTCGCAGCGCTGCGCGGCTTGGGCGTCCCGCGCAACAGCGGTGACCTTACGGAAAAGCTCATCCGCCACCGGATGGCGAAATGCGCTGTGCGTCGGACGAGATGGACTGCAATAAACTTCGAGAGCAGCGTGCGAACGTGTCTGACTTAGCATCGGGTAAGTTCGCACTCCAGAACAGGCAATTCGCCTTCCAAGCAGGTCTTCGGACGCCGAATGCGACTTGCCGTACCATTTTCCACCACAGCTGCCGCCCCAGTCGAAAACGACCTGATGGCATGACTGGAGTAGTGGCAGGCGGCTGACAAGGCGGCCTACGACCGGCGGATAGCAAAAGTCGATCCAGACATCCGCGTGGATGACTACGCTCGCGTTTAGACCCCAAAACATCTACCAAAAGGTGCCCAAGGCTTCCTACAGCCTCTTCGCGTCGACAAGAGCGTCGGAACCGCCGCATTCCGGACGTCCGACGGCAAAGCTCAGAACACAGCTCGCTGGACAAGAGTGCCAACCGCTGAGGAGCTGCCAACAAACTAGAAGCCTCCAGCAGATGACCTGCCAGGGAACCAGGACCTGACAGCTCCGGCAGAGCTCGTCCCGTTGGATGACAGCTCCGGCAGAACTCGTCCCGCTGGATGACAGCTCCGGCAGAGCTCGTACCGTCGGATGACAGCTCAGGTGGAACTCGTCCCGTTGGATGACAGCTCCGGCAGAGCTCGTCTCGTCGGATGACAGCTCTGGCAGAGCTCGTCCCGTTGGATGATAGCTCCGGCAGAGGTCGTCCCGTTGGATGGCAGCTCCGGCAGAACTCGTCCCGTTGGATGACAGCTCCGGCAGAGGATGCAGCTCCGGCAGAGCTCGTCCCATTGGTTGCGGCCCCGGCAGAGGCGTCGAGATGAGGCAGCCGTCCGTGGACCCAACCTCAAGCCCTCTGCTTTATGCGGGGAAGGAATGCAGTGCCTTAGCGCACAGGCGCTAAGTCACGACGTCACCCATGACGTCACCCAGCTCCAGCCGGTCAGCGCCGGAGCCGCGCCCCCGAGGCGCCCGTAAACGGGCCCTCGAGAGCCCGTGTAACACGGCGTGTTGCATGAGTACAGGGGCAGTTAGATCACCGCGCGCTCGGAGGCTCCGATGCAACGCTCCGGTTACGGATCGAACGGTCAGCATATCATCCTATGTGATTTATGTTCCCCACCAAGAAGCTAACACCTGCTGTTGTCTCCATCGACCTGTTAGTGATGATGCAGAAATTAATCGCTAGCGCTGCATAGCTTTCCGAGCACTGATGCGATGAGATTCATTTACTATGTTTTCGTGGTAGTTATGCGGCGGAATATGATGTGCATCCTGATAATGTTGGCACATCTTTTGGCATCACCTGAGCACGACCAGCCGCAGGTAAATACCCGACCAGCCGCAGGTAAATACCCGACCAGTCGCAGGCAAATCCCCGACCAGTTGCGGGTAAATCCCCGACCAGGCCTGATCAACGGCTCCTCAACGGTCGGCATCAGATGATCGGAATCACCAGAGCCAGTGCAACAGTGCTGGCACCACCAGAGTCAGCGCCGTGTCGCACGTCGCCAGAGCCGGGACGCTAGCCGCGCAAGCTGTGCTTAAGAGCCATCGCGGCAGGCAATATTACCGGAAACGGCGGAGCGGCGGGTTCCGTTGAACGTAGCGCAGAAGCCGGTACAACAGAGCTGCCGCAGCAGCCGGTCCGGTCATAGCCAGGGCTGCCTCCAGCCTCGTCCAAACCGGCGCAGTGGTCGGTCCGAACTGAACCTCCGTAGTGGTTTAAACTGTTGGAGCCGGTGCAGTAGCCGGTCCAACCAGACACGGTGCCGCAACCCATTCCAACGAAGCCAGCACGGAGTCCAGTTCCAGCAGTGCCAACAGAGCTTGCCTCACTGGAGCCGGCCTACCCGATGCTTGACCGCGCCGATGCCAGCCCCGTGGCATCGGCATCGGTGCATCTAGCATCGTAAGAATACACTGCACGGTACACTGCAGTCATGAAAAGGGGAGGGGTCATTTTTCGTGTGCCTCTCCCCCAAAACTTTGCAATTCTTCCCGTGCCCCGACTACGAATGCATTGCGGCCTGTCCAGGCATTTGCAGAGAGCGAAACGGACAGGATCGACCCAGCGGATTTTGCAATCCGATGCAATCCACCGGATCGTACGGGGATCATATTGACACATATGTTCAATGTGTTAGGATTGGGCTTAAGTATGGATTTGATTGATTATTGGTCTTAATGAAATGCTCATAAATGCTCGAGTATAACGTCAAGCAAATCGACAGTAAGTGCCAAATAATATATGTCTTCATGATGATCACTGGTGTACGGATGGAACAGCCTTTGAGCCAGTTTTTGCACACAAGCCAGCATTTCATTAAGCATCGAAAAACCATCATCCTGGACTCACTAGGTCTGACATTCTGGTGGCGAATTGGATTCTGGTTAGATCAGCCGTGGAGTAAATTAACAGATATACATGAGATCTAGATCTTCTCTGGCCAGATACAGATTTAACCGAGTGAAACATAAGCTATATCTTTCGCACTCCGCTTACTAGAGCCGAGATTTGCACCGGTGAGAATGCAAGTAAAAAACCATTGGCATGACTTTTGACACTCGGCGGAGTTAAGTATGGGTGGCTACAGCATCATAAAAGCACGGCAAAATTTTAGATGCCTTCAGTGGCCGTTTGTAAACCTTTCGAAGTCAGGTTTTTACCCGGACTGTAACAGCGTTAAATGAAGATGCGTACACTTATAAATTTTAAAATATCCCCCGCAGCTGTAAGGCCCACTCAAACGAACATTCATTATGACTCGCACAGCCTACATTCTGGTGATGATGGCACTTAAAGCCCGTCATTAGGAGCGGAGTTGACGTTATGTAAGGAAGTGTGATGGCTCATGCGTGATGTCAAAAGTGCAGGCGATAAACAGGCGTGCACGTTTAGTTTTGCTTTAAGCATAGTGGGGCGGATTGAGAAGAAATGCGCTTTCCAACTACAGTTGTGCCATGGGGCATTGCAACTTAAAGGAGATATATCTACCAGAGGGGCGAGAGCTTTTGGCTTCCCACAACGAGTAGGATATTCCGATTTAACGTGCAGTTTTTTCCAGTTTCAGTGAGTGCCGCAGAGCGGCAATACCGGTCGGTACATTTCTGCGTTGTCCTCGTTCGTAACCCCATGCAAAAACATGCTGTCATAATGAAAGCAGCACTACTCTATGCCCACTTATTATAGACCCAGTTCTGAGGCCAAACTCAGCAAATCGCTACGGTCGGAAAATAAAATTGCACGCAAGTAGAGATGCTGTGTTATGTCCGAGCTGCGCCAAAATAAAATACCGCCCAGTTGGCGTCAGTCGATTGTCACTATTGTAACATCAGGCATTGCTATTCTGTGAAGTTATACAGCTATCCGGCTATCCTGATTGGAAATTAGGGAGAGGAGGTGGCCATAACCATTTACATTTTTCCTTTCCCGTCAACTCCCATTGATGCAAATGTAGAATTTTAAGAAGGTTGGGACTCCCCATACCCACCTGGTTCCCAAGCCCCTAACCCTGTCCTAATGAAGCCACTTCACAGTGGCATGAATGTGCTGGGCGTAGAAAATGCGAAATATAGGCTAAGGTATATTTACTGCCAAAAGGAACGTGCTTCAAACGAAATAAGGTAGTCGGGGACTGGCGTTTTCCTTTACGTCCATCGTAAAACTTTCTTCTTTTCGGTGCGATGGTGCTAGGCGTGCGCAAAGTTGTGCCAAATCAGCTGTATAAAGCCATTTCCTGGCGTAGATTGGAAAGATAAAAAAGAAATGCCTTTTGTAGCTTTCAATCCGTGCCTGCTCGCAGAAGCGTGAGATCCAACATTACGCTTTGCTTTCTGACTGCGAACGCTACCTTTTTCGATAATCGTGAAGGCACCCGCACGCCATCTACCGTCTCGAGAAGATGACCTTCTGAAAGTAAATGTACGGATAGGACGAACTTGCCAGTACGACAATAAGAAAATTATCATTTACGCAGTGTGAATGCTGTTGCCTCGTCAACGACCTACTGTGTTCTGCAAGATCGAACGACTTTGTTGCGCTTCAACAGCAATGGTCCTTTGCTCGACAGGTTGAAGCTGATATTCGCGTGCATGATGGAGGTGTCCAAGTTCCCACTCGACTTTCAAGTTTGCACCATGGAAATTGGCAGCTGTAAGTTGTTGTGTAACTTGGAGGACTTCTGGTTTCCAGTCACGGCTGTGGGAGGGGGGGGGGTCGTGCGACAGCACCAAAATGGCGTGGTGCCAAGCCAGCCAAATCAATGTGAGGAAGTGCACATCAGCCAGGAAATGCAGTTTTTTTGCTATGGTACAGGTTGCAAATATTTTCAAATTTTCTACACGGGGAGTTCGTCGGTTTCCAGTAACTTTATAATAGAAGTGCTCCGTCAGGTACGTCGTCATCACAGATCTTCATCTCACGTTATAAGTCCGTTCCACGTTCGAAGAATAAAATGAATTGATAGCATGGATGATTCGAGGCGCTGTGTTTGTTGCCATGATGCCAACTTAAATGCGTTTTTGCGGGTACATAAATCGTCCTCAGGGGCTCCAGGGGTTCCAGGGGGGTCCAGGGGGTTCGTCGTTGGGGGTTCCAGGACATCCAACGTTATGTTGATCCTTTTTCAGATTTTAACTCAGTCCCCTAGGTGAATCACAAACACGTACTTCAAAAGGGTTTTCAGTATCTTTTGAAATGCACTCGGCTGCCTTGTCTGTCCACATGGAAGCCGTGCTTATTGAGTTGAGTCGCCGTATGCAACATTAATGTGGAACTGGATCTTTTTTCGTGACACCGTTTTCGTCAATAGTGGGTGACCGAATACATTTTTAAACAAGTAATAAACCGTAATCCCCTGCGCACATTTTCCGCAAATTTGACGTTGGTCTCTATTATGTTTCAAACGTTTTTTTGCAAACTAGGTGAAGCGGAACTAAATATTCGCTGCCACGTCTAGTCTTGAGCTAAGCTGGGTGCCGGGACGTATAGCCTATCGCTGCTGATCATCCTGGACGCCCTTTTGTGACCAGTCTGCCGCCTTGATCCGTGTCTCTCAGTCACCTTTGACACCTCCTTTACCGACATGACCTGTCCCTGTTCCACTAACGACCCGAGGACCTCTGCTTCAGTTTCCAAGACGCTGTCGGAACTGGAGCTTCGCTGGAAGGCCGAGAAGCCTGTGGTGCTGTACGAGAGTCTCAAGATGCCGCAGTTTGAGTTCGGCGGCGTGCAGACGTCGATGTGTGAACAGGAGCAGTCCTCCAGCATCGGTGAGTGGCTTCTGCACGCCCCAGACGTCGATGTGTGAACAGGAGCAGTCCTCCAGCATCGGTGAGTGACTTCTGCACGCTCCAGACGTCGATGTGTGAACAGAAGCAGTCCTCCAGCATCGGTGAGCGGCTTCTGCACGCCCCAGACGTCGATGTGTGAACAACAGGAACAGTCCTCCAGCATCGGCAAAGGACCTCTGCACGCCCCAGACGTCGATGCGTGAACAGGAACAGTCCTTCAGCATCGGCAAAGGACCTCTGCACGCCCCAGACGCTCGGTGCGGTTAATGCTCGCTGCACCGACAGAAAAAATGGCACCGTGAACTTTCAACATGATTAATATTTTCAAATGCTCAACAGATTCTAGCCTGCTGGAGTATAACCATTATCTGTAAATTGAATGGAGGAGACTAAAGAGTAGATTGAAGAGGAGGAGAGAAGCGGAAGTAGCTAAGTACGCAACCAAGTATCCGAGTGTGCCCAGGGTGTTTTCCCACACTTCGCCAGGAACAACGCTAATAGCGTTGTTCATGCCATATGATGGTCATTACGCTTTTGTGTGTGGTGCTTAATGAAGTGATGATACCTAATGGCACCACGCACGGCCATCATTTCGTAAATGTCACCATTACTACGACATGAAAATATTCCGGTGCTGTTTGCTGCATTGGAAAATGACAAATGGAAATGACACTGCAAGTTCCGTTACCACAATGGATATCGATTCCACGTAGTGTCTGGTTCTTTTCAATGCAGCTATTTGTGCATTATTCAAAAATAATCGGTGAAGTGACATTTGCGTCATCGGGAAAGCGAGATTGTAATAAATGTGACAGCTACAATCATGCATATGGAGCCACAGCCTAAGCGAATTGAGCCAGTTACCTTTGGGAACCCATGCCAGCAACCATTTTTAAAGCACTGCAATCTCAGTCTGTCATGATTTAGCGGGGAAAGGGGAGTGATGCTTACGTTATCGCACGCGGTGAGACCGGCACGAAATAGGGAAACTTGAAATGGTCCTCGTTTTCGATGTCTGTGAGCAAATTATTGGGGAAATACTCAGTTGTGGGGGCTTGGAATGGTCACAATGATCTGGGCCACATACCTGTGTATGCTTCCTGGCCCAACTGCTCGGCTTGGACGCTAGGATGTGACCGGTCACCAGATCGGTTACAAAAAGCGACAGTGGCCGCCTCTCGATCGATTACTGGTACCACTGTTGGGAAGACAGTATTGAGCTCATGTGCGGATTTGTGGGCAGTATATGCACCTTTGAGATGTAACCCCAATCATAAAACGCCCAAACAGCAAGACCAGTAGTGTTTTGCGCTCGGGCGTGATTAATAGCTTTCGCATATTAACCCACGCTCTTGGCAGTGTCATTGTTCGTTTTCTACTCTGTAAGAGATGTTGGTGTAGTGATGTTATGTGCACGGACTGTCAGTATGCTTTTAGTTCGTATTGTCCCGATTCGTGTTGCATTTTTTAAATTTAACCTTCTTAGTTAAGTTAAAAAGGAGCTGCTGAATTTTCAAAATATCGCAAGGTCTCAAAGACTAAAATTTCTGAGAACAACATTGAAGTGGTTGCGCTGTTGGTACTGAAACAGGCTAGCGGTACGACTGACGGCACTGACAAAGGTACTTACAGCTCGTCCAAGCCGTCCCTAACCGTACCGGGCCGCCGAGCCACAGCATTTCCAGTCAGTGATTGTTTAGACCTACTAGGCCCTCGGGGGTAATGACACGGCCAACAGTGAGGAGGACTCAAAGTGACTGTTAACTCACTAGCGTTCGGGGCAAGGACACTGAAAACATGAGGTTGAAAATATTTATCAGATAACTGGCTAGAATTCAGGGCAAATGCTTTCAAAAAGGAGGCCAGAAACATGTATCGGTTGATTGGCTGGAATTCAGGGCGGAGGCGTTGGAAAGATGAGGTTATAAATATGTATCACGTCGCGCAATTATTTTCCTGTGGTTCTAATTCACGGTGACAAGCCGCATTACAAGTTGCTTACGGGCATCGGGCCATTTTGCGCCCACTCAATGACGGTTATCTACCTCTGAGACGACGCCATAAGTGTATTGTCAACTAATAACAGACAATATCACCGGTACACTTACACTGAGTGGTGAGCGAAAATAATGTCAAAGTCAACGCATGCTAAAAATGCGAGTATGTATCCAAGTTCACTACATGGGTCTCCGACCGAGTAACCGATGAACGGCTGCTGGAGGAAAAAATTGTCGCCTTTCCGTCTCAAGGTGCCGGGATGAGACGATAACATGTTCTACCGACAACCGGTCCCCGCATATGTCACACCATGGCACATTCTTACGCGTCAAGTAAAACGAGTGTGTTGCATATGTATGACCCAATCGAAGCCTACAAAGGGCGACTTCCTGGAAGTGGCTTCGGCGATGGGAAGATTCCCAATCACCCAGTTGGGACTTGATTTCCCTGAAACCGTGACGATGTTGGTCGAACTTGTTCTGCCACGTATTGCGGACATATCTGGAAATGACCGACTTGAGATCTCGAGCGGGTACATAAATTGACATTTATTTTCTGTCATACGCCGCAGCTTTCGCTGCAGTGTCTGTTTTCTCATTTCCCATTATCCCTATGTGATTGGGAATCCACATAAATGTGATACGGCAAGAAGTGTTGCCCAGACATTCCAGTTCCTCCGAATTGAGCGCGTCAGAAATGAGTGGTCACGCCACATCGCCGTCGGGTCTAATGATAAAAGTGCACTAAGTGAGTCGGTCAAAATGACTGCATCCCTTTCAGGGCGGCAAGTAACGTACTGAAGCGTTGCTAAATAGCAAACAGTTCTGAGGAAAGAACTGACGTGTGATGCGGGGAGGCAGACACCTACGGTGTGATGTTCAGTAAATATTTGTAATGAGTTCCTGTATTGTGGGATCCGCCTCTCTCTCCCTCTCTCTCTCTCTCTCTCTCTCTCTCTCTCTCTCTCTCTCTCTCTCTCTCTCTTATCATGGTTCGGAAAAGGCAAAGACCCGTTCTGAGAGGCTGTGTGATGTTCGCTTGTAGATCTACGTATCTCAATCTGAATTTTCTGATGTTTTCAGCTCGAACCAACGATTTTGCGATTTGTGTTCCGAATATGATCGCAGTGCTAACGAGAGTCATTCTGGTTTGAACATCACTGATGAGAAAATAGTTAAGGTGAAAATCACATCCTTTGGAAGTTATGCATGATTTGGCTGTGGAAGCTGGCGGCTTGCTGTAATGCTCTTTCCACGCTGCTCTGTAGATGCCCTTCACAATCTTGTGGTCGTTTTCATCGCACATGCCATCGAAGATCTGCATGCTATTTTTTTCTGAGAGCCTCCCCTAGCTCTAAGGTCATTCAGAAATGCAACGAAATCCATAAATGCAAGCTGAGCTTTGGTTCGCTTTGATGGTCTCGGGTAGGCAATTTCGTCAACTTCATGTTTGCAGAATCTTAGGTCAAAACTTTTCCCGTTTGATGGTACCTTATGCGCTTATTTGGTTTTCACGAAGCTTCGGCCGGCTTTACGCTTCCAACTATGGCAGTTGGTGTGACTTGGTACCAATTAAATTTCTTGTCAAGCTCTGCACTTGAATCTTTTACAGCTTCCATAATTTCATAATCACGCTGCTAGCAAATTTTGTTTTCTGTAGCTTTACATACAAAGCATTTAAATTAGATGTAGATATGACTCACGATTTACTTAAAGGACACACAACGCAGCGGAAGGCTACAGTTCAAGAAGCGGGACCAAACAGAAGACTGTTACAACTTTCAGCGAGATGATGGGGACAGTGGGAGGCGGCGCGTACGGCTGGGCGGCTGCCTGGCCCTCGCCTTTCACTCCCGTCCTGCCTCTGCAGCTCCACGGCCCCATGCCGCGTGCCGACCGTTATCCCTGGACCTGTACAAACAATACAGCCATAGTACACCACGCTGCATGCCGACCGTCTTCCCTGGGCCCGTTCAATCAGTACAGTCATAGTACACCACGCTGCATGCCGACCGTCTTCCCTGGGCCCGTTCATACAATACAGCCACATGTGTTTCCGAGTGTTTCCGAGCGCATGGGTCGTTGGATGCGGTCTGAATTTATTTTAAATGATATAGTGTATGTATAAGAATGAAGCACGGTACCCGAAAAAAGATGTTCTTTGGTGTTCCCAAATATGCATTGTATCTCGTGTCTGTGTAGCCTAAATCGTGTTTTCGTCACTGTTAATAGCGTGTTCAATTTGTTATTGATTGCTGCGTTGTAGTTGGTAATTTCATCGTACGCTGCATGTCATTTAATATCTGAGGTCCTAATTGACGTCATGTAGTATTCCTAATGGCGCGGTCCTGTCACCAGGAAAGCAATTACTTACCATGCTCGCCCAGATATCCCTCCGTAAGGCTCAGATGCAATTATTGACGCCAATGCATTCAATTCCGACCCATGAGTGTAATATTCATGGTGGTCTCATAATTCCGAGAGAGACACGTTGGCTGTAGCAGTTGCCCTAAGACAAGTTTTGAACAAACAAACAAACCGCCTGAAATCTTAGCTGGCTTTGAGCCGCGCACCACGATTGATGCAAGTAATGTACCATGCTGGGGAGTACACCTTTTCACATTTATTTTCGCATAGCTTGCTAAATTTAGCCTGTAACTGGAAAGCAATTTACCTTTTACACCGCCAGAGGCGCTGCGTACCCTTCACTAGACGCGCTAAGTGGCTATTTCCGCGGGGAACAGACACGTGCAGCTAAGGCACGTGGTCAGGTGCAGAGTTCACATTTTGAGAGATCAAAGATAATTACGGTCTCTGAAGCCTCATCGTATCAGCAACACCATGATTAACGGCTAGTCATGGCATTGCTGATATTTGGGCCTTTACCCTCAACAAAACGGTTGTTCAGTGCATTAGCGAGGAGCATCATTCGCATAGATATGACAGTAGTATTAGCCTTACTCCTCGGAGAAGAATCACGAGATTGGACGAGATAGTTGGGTTGATATTTCGGCAGCATGCCTTCATCGAAGCAATGGCAGAAGTGAGTATTTGCTTGATTCACTTCTGCTATTCACATTCATTCATATCATTATTTCCTTCTGCTATCGTTTAGATAAAGGCATGTTGCCGAAATATCAACCCAACTATATCTCCATTCTCCTGGTTGTTCTCCGGGCAATAAGACAAATACCACACCTTGTCAGCAAAACAGGTGTGAGGTTAAAGTCTGAGCGTTTTGAATGGATGGATTTCTGGTATCACAGCTCACGCGAAGCAGTTTTTGTTGCGTGACCTGTGACCCATACCATTAAATCCTGAAATTCCAGGACAATAACAGAATTTTGTGGCGAAGGTTCGACGCGTTGCAATGCTCGGCACAATCTGTCGTGTTCTATGACACCACGTGACCTTTAGCGTGGCCGCTGCCACCGGCCTCAGGTCATACCAGCCACGGGCGAATAGCAAGCGCCTAAAGCGACTTGAAGCCATCCCGCCACACCTGAGTGGGTCGGAAGGCAGACGCTCCAACGAGCTGAGCTCTTGGGACGGACGATTTGAAGAAATATGTTGCTCTTGAAATCTGGGGAACGACACTTATTTTTATTCTCACTGGACGTTGAGCAAGTGCATTGGTGGCATCCGTTCAATTGGAGCCGCAGGTCATGTTGCCTAAGATTTGGTGCTCAAGGATATGGAGCATGACAATGACTAGTGCAACGCCAGTGCAACAGGCTGCCAAATGGCGCACGTTTCAAATCAGTATATATGAAATAGAAGAAAATTGCAAGAATTTCAAATGAAATGAATACTTATGATTTTCGATTGATCCGCTTTATTCACACTCTCCGAACGTTCGGATAATTGCCAATGAGCCGTAGACAACGAATGCACTTTCCATACCAGAACGATACGAAACCGACCGGTCGTGCCGGGCCCTAACCGTGAGCCCCAAGCTCAGCTACAGCTGGGAGGTGGGGTTCCGGTAGTGTAGTGGTTAACGAGCCTGCGCTAACCACCGCGCGTCTGGGAAACCAGAGGGACGGGGTTCGATTGCCCGCGGTGCCCGCCCTTCCTGCCAGGGTGAGAAGAAGCAGGCGACGCCATATAGCCACAGCAGCTGAGTGCGTCGTAAAGACCCAATGACACACAGACACATACAGCTGGGAGCGGATAGTCGCCTGGTGCGGTGGTGATGGAAACCGCCGCCAACTCTCGGCACGAACAGACGCCAGCAGGCCGAACGGCGTAGACGACAGATGGCGCGATCCCTACATGACGTCACCAAGGCTTAGGCCGGTGTTTTCAATAACCGCCCGTCATGAGGAGTTCAACCGTAATTTGGCACACTTCGGGAACTCTCGCATACCTGCCTGGGTCTATCGCAGCCAAAAAGGCAGAGGCGATGACGTGTCGCCTCTCACCGACTGCCACCCCGGGGCAGACGGCGGCGGATGCTGTACCGCCATACACCGAAACACTGCGGAGCAGTCTTGTGCTCCAGCGGACGCCCTGTGCGGCCGGGGGGGGGGGGGGGGGGGCGGGGGAACCTGATTTCGGGTCAGTGGCAGATGTGACGCTTGGCCTGACGCCAGGATAGGAATGTTCCTTCCCAAACATCGGTCCTTGCTTGGTAAGGATATCTAAAACAAGGCAATGGGTGCGTGCGATCGTTTGTGTATCTTCCAATGAATACGAGTGTCAATGCACAAATGAAGTGATCTGTTAAGTTGCAGGTTTAGGCGAAAGCCTTGCATGGAAGTTGACGGTTAGGTACCTAAAATGGGCAGTGCATTTTGTCCATCCGCACCGATAATTCAGTTGGTTAGAGCGCCTGTCTTCCGATCCACCCACCCGTGTCGGTGTGAGTTCAAGTCGCCTCAGACACTCGTTATTTACCTCTGACTTGAATGGCCCGCGGGCGGTAATGGCAGTGTTTAAGGTCAGGTGACGTCAGAGGGCGAGATGGACCGTGCTGAGCATTGCGACACGTTAAGCTTTGTCAGGAAAACCATGTCACTGGCACGAAATTTCGCAGTTAGATGGTAGTCACAGGACTCACGGAACAACCAATGCATAGCGTAGGGCTAATCCCAGAGTCCCCCACGATCAAGTTATTTGGACCAAGTACTACACAATTCAGAAAAAACCTGGGGCTACTTATGACTTTCAGTTTCTGTGGTTGCGCCGTTCTTCAGCGGTACTGACCGCGCTTGGCCTGATTTTATTTCAAACCAAACGACGGGATTTCTTGGAGCGGTGAACCAAAGTCAAATAGAAAGAGCATGCGATTCAGCAGACGGTACTTATTGCCAGTGGTTTTGGAGCACAGACGTCCTGTGAACTCAGAGCCTCTTGAAGCTGTTTTCAGCAATATGGCTGTTACCATCGGATTTCTACCGCCCTGCTCTACCCAGCTCAGGCCATACTTAACGTTTTTGAGGACCAAGGGACAGTTCCCCCCCCGCGCAGTTCCCCTCTAGAATGAAATTCCGTGATGAGCCATGACATGTGCGGAGCTTTTGTCCCTGTGCTTATGTATGAGGACTTCGTATTTAATATCCATCACGTCATACATGTTTATTTCAACCTGAAGATAAATGTTTTCTGACCTTTACAGCCATGCACCGCTATTCGTGTTCTATAATGCTCGCTCTACGTATAATAGAACACATGTTTACGATACATATGCAGACAGTGTGTCCATCTGTGTCGCGACTCTAAGCACCGATGATTTCGTTGAGAACTTCATTCCTTGCTTTACCCCATCTGCATAGTTCCCCCGGCGGGAGAGCCACGGCATCCCTCTGTATTCCCAAGCAGCTGTAACCGCCTCCATGTTCCCAGGCGACTACAGCTGTCTACAAGCGGCGTTTACACTGCGCCGGTCGCTGGGGTTCCACCTAGTGCAGTCTTACCTGCCCACCATCCTGATCGTGATGATCTCCTGGGTCAGCTTCTGGATGGACGTGGACTCGGTGCCGGGCCGCGTCACCCTCGGCATCACCACCCTGCTCACCATGACCACCAAGTCGTCCGGCATCCAGGCCGAGGTGCCGCAGGTCTCCTACGTCAAGGTAACAAGGCGCGCTGGATTGCGCTCCCGGGTGGCGTCTCCTGTCACGTGACACGCCGCGTGGCGTCTAATGATCTAATGACCGGTTTACTGTGGGCTAATTTTTTTCCTGTGCGAATTCTGTATCGCAAAAAAGTTGTCATCGACAAGTTCGAGGCGAACGTCATTCTGAAGCACCTGATGGCCCCTGATGGCACCTGGTGGCATCTGATGGCTCCTGATGGCACCTGGTGGCACCTAATGGCCCCTGATGGCACATGTTGCACATTAGTCTGTGAGTGGTCGCTGATGCGCAGAAGTCAGCAATTATCTTCAATGCTCGTGATAGCGTCCGTGCTTTAGCCACTGCAATGGAAATATGTCGTAGGAAAACGAAGGTCCCAGTTGTGAACCAGACTAGATTGGCGCAACCGAGGGCAATCTTTTAAGATCGTGCGTTTGAGCGCCAAAGTGCCCATCCTGGCGGACTTATGCGTTACGTGTTCCTTCTAACCTATTAGTAGATGGAGTTTCATTGGTTTTGCATAAGCTTTCAGTCGAAATTAATGCAGCCTTCCGACGGACAGCAGCTCATGCCAAAAGCACAAGTCAAATCAATCTCGGCGAATCGTGTCAGGCGCCCGTCAGACGATTCGGATGGGCTTGAGGAACGTCTCGCTCGCCATCGTCGCCCCACTCGCGGCTCGCGCGGACCATCAGCTCGCCGGCTCCGGCTGGGAAGCCCTCTTCGTCCCACTTCGGCTGCGAGGTCCTTGTGCCACATCCGGCTCCATCAGACGGCCGTATTTGCAGTTGGAGTCAGTCAACACGGGTCGCAATTCGCCGCCAGCCGCCTTGTCCGACTTAGATGGGGATCTCAGGCCTGTTCATGCTGGGTCGAGGCATTTGGTGAGCACAGAGTAACTCGCTTCAAGATGTATACCGGATAGACAACAGGGCAACACTATTTGGTACTGTGCACAGGTTTTCTGATTAGAAGTCACCGGCAGGATATTGCTTTGGCGTAGGACACCTTTCATGCATTATACCGTAGTGGTTTTTATGCGAGATTTCCACCGAAGGGGCGTTGTTTTTCTCTCTGGAAGCAGACGTACCAACCATTCTGCGACTCGATAGTAAAGACAGTTCTGTTGTACTTGCCTGATCCCGACTCACTCAGCAGACTTCCCTAAACCTTGGGCATAGTACCCTTTATAACTGGGCGTAGGGACCGAGGAGGTCAGTAGGGCCGTGACAACACGGTTACAACAGGGCAGAACATTTAAGGAACTATCTTCTTAAGCTTTGCATGGCTGACCTCCGCGACAACCTTGCGAACTTGTTTGCATTTGTGTGGCGAGGGGGCGGAAGCAATGCGTATTGCGGTATCGGAAACCCGTCATCTTCTGTGCAAAGCAAGTTTCAAGTGGAGATGATTTGCTAGCATATCTATCATGTTAGTGGCCTGTTCGCTGTTTGTGGAGTTTGTAGTGCAGCACAAACATGCTTACCCCGTGTGAAGTCTCCAAGTCAGTTCCAAACTTCAGTGGTGAACGGAGGATATGTTTGGTCTTGAGGCAATTTTGCTCTTGCTTCGTGGGTATTTCTGTGGCTATATCATAGCTTGCCGACGTGGTGGCCACAAGATGTATCCCCAGAGCCTGCATTACGTTATGTTTTCGTGAAGGTAGCACACCAACAAGCCAGAGCGTGAAACTGACCGAGAAAAACAAGCGAGGGAGCCGGGCGTGCCTCTGTCTCGCGCCATACGGCAGCGACGTGTAGTCGGTCACCGCAGCCCGGTCTGCCCGGAGGCAGGCTGGCGGCGACACCCGCGACGGCATGAGCTCACGAGACAGCCAACAATCCATCCCAATCTGGCAGTGGTACTGCCTTCGTGTCATTTAGCTAGACGTGTTTAAGCTCACCTGAGTCAGGAGGAGGAAGCAAGAGTTATCGAAAATGTTATGACTGAGAATGCTTTCTTTAAAATGTGATTGGCGGAAGCCCCTCCCCCCCCCCCCCCCCCCCAACAAGTAGCGGAGCTGCGTTCCGTACGGTGCGGTGGCTAGAACACGGCTCACTTTTTGATAAATGGAGCTTGTCGCTCGTTTCTTACGGCGATAGCAACGCACTAAGTGAAACAAATGTTTGCGTGGTATATCGGGGCGTGGTTAAACTCCGTTTGATGTCGAAAAACGGCGACACAAACACGTTTACTATCCCCACCAAACGACTGTTTGTCGACCGTTGGCCGCACGAACTTCATCTGTTAAGAGCCCTGCCAACACCGTCAATCGACAGCACGCCATTGCACGCGCCGGTACGCTAGGTCGACATGGATATGCGAGGATGGTGGTGTGGTGTCATGGATCTGGTGGTGGTGGCATCGACTGTCCGTCATGTCAAGAAGGGGCACTCTTTCGACATCGGCGACGATTCAGTATAGCATTTGCCGATTGTCGATGCCCAAATTAGACCCGTTTTGATCATGCCGCAGCACAACCACCGCAAAAACAAACCGCGTGGGTTAGGTTTCCGGGTGTGTATTTCCTACGGCGAGCTCTCGTCGTGAGAGTCAGGGCACCATAGCACCGGAGATGCCCTTTTCGTCCTCATGATGCGCCTTATTAATTATGTTAGCATCTTCCACTGAATATTTACTCTGCAGTCGGGCAGCCCCGTAGAGACAAAAGCCATCCTGAGTCCCTGTCGGTGCGGGTATGTGGCGTGGAAAGACGAGGCCAATGCTCGGTCAGTTCCAGACACGTCTGACGGGCCAGACAGAGGCAGCCATGTAACCCCCGTGTCGGCGCGCTCACGTGGGGCGGAAAGACGAGGCCCAATGCTCGGTCAGTTCCAGACACGTCTAACGGGCTAGACAGAGGCAGCTATATGACGACAGGGTGAGTCGGCTGGATCCGGCTTGGGAGGGAAACGATCCTATGTCTGGCCCGCGTCGCCAGACTTGCTGGTGAGAAGGTGGATTTGGGAGATTGGAAGTGGAGAGGGAATTCATCAGCGTAATTGTAGCATTGGAGTGCCGGTGATGTTTTTGTTGTGGTGTGCCGTGCGTTGTGTTTCCAAGTGAAACGGTGCGGCATCACATGCATCGCGGGGAAGTGGCGCCGAACCCTCCCTCTCGGCCAGCTACGTGATGGTAAAACAAACATGGTGCCGACAAAAAAAAATCAACGGATGAATGGTTAGCGAATGCTGGCAAGATGCGGAGGCCGGGCACGGCTGTTGTAATGCTTCTTTCAAGCAGCCGTTGCAACGTCAAGGGTTCCTGAGGCCTGGGCTAACGAGGCTATTCCCATTGCGACCGAATGAAGAGTTCAGCGGCTGGTGAATTACTGTTACGACGCATGATGGGTGAGGACGGGCGAAAAAGTCGACCTCCAGGCGTGATGACATTTTTGAAAGCATCTGTGTACCCTGGAGTCAGCCGTTTGATGACTTGAAGGTAACGCCACGAATGTATGGATATCAGTCCATGTACCTAGATGTCCCAAATGAAAACTACCAACAGTTTAAGCACTGTTTCTGACCAGTCAGCATGGGTCTAAATTGATCCACATGAATGGAACAGGTTTCCTAAAAGAAGGCAGCTGCAGGCAGCAGAGTAGTCCTGCGTGACACCGCTAGTGTTGAATAGACACCTACTTTGATCACTCCGCACTTGCACTCTCCACACAGAAATAAGCCCAGCCAGCCAAGCGATGCGGTTTGATTTTGCGGTGTTCATAGTGCCAGGGTGTAGTACAGTGGGGATGGTCTCGAACATCGGCGGCCGATGTGGTGATACTGGTTCACTACCATCGTCACAACACTCTCGTGTTAGTGCTGAGTCGGCCGTATAAGCGCAGAGACGAGGAATGGCGCGACAGCATGCGAGACAGCCGGTGGTGAGACGCTGATCATGATAAAATCTGCCGTATTGAGCCGGTCCTGGAACTGGCAGCAGCACACATCGTGTGTCAGGCAGCAGGCCTTGATCAAATTGCCAGTATACATGGGCCACATATCAGGCCTGGACATGATAGGAAAGAAACGAGTAAACCACTTCCGACGCGGCTCCGATGACTGCTATGTGGTTTGCATCCATCAGCGCGGATTTTGCGTTTAGATCAAACCATTTTGTCATCGATGTTGGCTGCTATGCATGAAAAGGGAAGGAAACAGAGTTATATGGTGTGCATCCATCAGCACAGATTTCGCATTTCGATGCAACTATTTTGTTATCGGTGTTGTCTGGTATGCATGCAAAGAGAAGGAAACGGGGCATTTTCTTGGTATTCTTTTTTCTGCTCCTTTACGATTTTGTCATGTTGAGTGTGAATAATTGCGTCCGCAGGCCATAGACATATGGATGGGTGTGTGCACGGGCTTCATTTTCGCTGCTCTGCTTGAGTTCACCCTGGTCAACTATCTCTGGAGGAAGCGCCCGACGCTTCAGGAGTTCCAGAACGCCATCTCCAGGGAGCACGAGCACCAAGACCTGCACGACGAGAACAACTGGACCAATGTCAAGGTCAGTGACCGCGAGCGGAGGCGCGCATTGCACCACATCTGCTGCGGACAGCTGCTGTGCGGCACCCGCCGTCAGCGTGGGTTGCAAAAATGTCCCAAGGTCGACGTCAATCGCCCGCGGCATTCGCATGTCATCTGGCCAGCAGTTCGCCCAGTGTCGGAATGCGGCATGCATCCATATGCCACGCTGGCCGCACGCCTCCCTCTCACGTGGACGACCCGCTTCCAGAGCAAGACGAAGCACCACCCGCCACCTGCTCTTCCACGAACTCCAGAAGACGGAATCCAAGAAGCAGGCGCAGAAGATCGACGAGATCTCCCGGATCATCTTCCCGATCGGCTTCCTGTGCTTCAACGTCGCGTACTGGCCTTACTACATGCTATGAGCCGGCGCGCCCGTGCCCGGCCGCGGGCGGCGGCCGCGTGCGGACGGCGGGCCGCAGCGCTGGTGCGGGCACCGTCGCCTGTTGCGGCGGCGCTGTTGAGCGGGGTCGATACGTCCGGCCCGTGGGGGTGCGCGCTGTCGACCTCGCTGAGTGACTCGGACATGGGTGCCGGGCGCAGTCGCATGTATATTTTTACGCGGTGTGAAACGACGCCTGCGGATTTGGAGATGTGCCAGGTAACAAGCTGTTGCTCAAGCGCTCAAGGGCGGCCGGTTGGGAGGCCCCGGAAGCTGTTGCTGGGAGCCGGGTCGGCGCGGCCGGCCCGTCACGCTGTGATGAATGAGGCCGCGGCCCACCGTCTCACCCGTAGGTATATATCAAGGTGCGGCGCAGAATCAGGCTGCCGAGGCGGGAGTCTTCCTGAGAGCCGCGCGGCCCGAAGCTGTGCCGGACACCATCGAAGGACAGGGAGGTACGCGTCATTGATGTGTGGCAGAGGGAATCACCAGGAGAATAAATTGTTCCTGTCCATCCATCGGCCAAGTTGCCCTGGCCTGATCAGATTATTTCCCGCATGTGCATTGCCCCGCGCAAAAACTTGCTTGCATAACGTCGATTTTTTCCATGGCCTGCCGTCCAAATACATGGACGACTCGCGACTACAGGATATCCATACAGAATTACATGTTTGGATGTTAGTAACGTGTGCTTCAATACGACACGGTAATATAACAGTCACGATTCCTTTCAGAGCGTCCCAGAGTTTGTTGGCGGTGTCCGGGTCCGCCTTGGCCAGAGCAGCTCAACAGACCACCAGTGCGAGACGGCACGCGCCCTTACCCACCCGCAGCGTCGCATGAGTCCAGCCGGGTCGTGAGAAGATCGTCGTCGGCCGCGCGGGCGAGCCGTCGACCCGCGTGACCTTGCGCGCGCCCGGCGCCGGCACTGGCCGCCGCCGGGGCGTCCAATCGGCGCGGAGTCGCCGCCGGCCCGCGGGGTCTCGCGCCGGCCGTCTGATGGCCCTACTCGCCGTGTCCCGGCGGACGTCACCGCGCGCTCCGGCACGTCCGAACGACGCAGCTGCGAGGGGCGCCCGACCGAGTAAAGTGTGGTTGGTACTAGGGCTGCCGCGAGCCGCCGGACGGCGACGTCGACCGCAGGGCGGTGGCCGCGTGCGAGTGAGTACACGTGCCGGCGTCCGGTGCAAGATAGTGGCATCCAAGCGTGCCGCCGCGGTCGGTCTGCGTGAGGTGATGGGTCGACGGCGGTGGCTGGGGGGACTTGGGAGGGACGGGTCCAGTCAAAGAAGGCCGATGGTACGGAATGCGACGTGCGTGTGACAAGACGGGTGGACGAGACAGGTTTGCGAACTCGATGGGCTGTGGCGCTGCCGGTTCCCGGGGGCGTGTGATGGGACGCGTGCCGTTACCGTGGTCTAACGGACGCTGCAGCGATGTTGTGACTAACCGAACTCAACTTGTCATTGCTGTACGATATTGTCAAAGGGTGTGACGTCACACCTGTGTGTGACGCGTGATGCCGGGAGCGTGGAATGCGACAACTAACGGAATGGGTTCAGGCGGATTGATTGCGCCGGCTTGGTATGTCCTATAAGTTTTGTAGTCGCATGCGTAAGTCGGTATTACCTTGTGAAACATTTCCGATATGCACCGGCGATCCTATCTTCCAGAGTTCATACCAACTGTGGGCTATACCTAGCTTGTAAAGGTATTTAGTTGTATATAGTTCCTCCCACGGTTACCTATGTTTTACATTACCAACGCATGTGTTTGCTTTTTGCGTTCGGATCATTGCGCATTTTCAGCGCCGTAGACGAAGAATGCTTCTTTGTGTCGTTTTGAGAAATTTCGATCTGTGGCGCGCACTGGGAGTTAGCTATGTTTCGGTATTGGGACATCTAGATGAAATAATAAACAGCACTCTCGTGTTAGCGCTATTCTTTCCTGAATCCTGCCACTCAGCAGGTTACAATGGGTGGCGCCTAGTGGACGGAACCGGGTGGCATCTGATGCGGGCTAACGCTAAGAGAGGTGACTATACCACACGGCTCATGCACGTACTCTTGACACAATCGGGGCTTGGTCCAAACGTGCTCAACTCATTCAGTGCGCTGTAGACGCAGTGTTTGTAGTGCCCTGTAAGATCCTGGCAGTTACGCGGAGTCAGCGAGCGTTTAGTGATGGCAGTGGGATCCCGTAATCGATACACGTCATGTTCGAGCTGATGGGCATGCAGACCTTACACGCCAGCTGTCTTGATTTGAGTATGTGAAGCAATGATTCATCATTTGCCGGGAGGAGTTTGTCCCTCCTGCCCTTAGATTTTTTTCACTACAGCTCCGGCACAAACGGCGGCAGCAGCCGAAAGCCATCGATGGTTTCATAAAATGCTCAACGCACCTCACGAGAACGGTCACTTTGTTTTTAAAGAGGAGGCATCTCGAATATGTGCTTATTGGCGTTACAGCGTGCCCGCAGTTAGTTAATACATGAACGTTTAAAGGATTTCAATGGCTCTCATCAGTCTCATATGTGCCGATCACCGTTAAGGTAAATTCAGAGCTCAAAAAACTTTATACGCTCAGTGGGCGGACATGCTAACCTAAAAAGCAGGGAAACACATTCGTAGAATTTGTCATCTCTTAGCTCACGCCCAGCCGGCAAAGGCTTGTATAAATCGGGTTTGAACTGCCAGCACTACACGAAATGATGTCAGCAGGAATACGGGTGAAATCGAAGTTTGAAATAAGAAGATACACGACCCTCACAAAGGCAAGATTAACGTGAAGCCTGACGTGCAAGAGCAGCCCGCAAGATGAGAGTATAAAGCACATGGGCAGCACGAGGTGCCCAATAATAACACCGAGGACAATCTGCATGAGGCTTGAAGGACAGCAGGAATGTCGGCATAGCCATGCCGACATGTCCTGTGCTTGTAGTCCTGGATCGAAACATTGAGACATTCCACAAGGGTTTCTACCGGTTTATGACATTTCACGAGATGCGTGGAAATTCCAGAGACCAGCAGGAGTCCCATCAGCCAGCAGAACAAACTAACGGGCTTGTTGGTGCTACCAATGCAGAAATTGGGAAGTCATATTCAAACGTATATCTGAAGAGTTTGGTCCAGGTTAGGTTAACAAAGCAACAAAGCACATAAGCCAGAAAACTCAATCAGGCCAATTATTTCTCAAGTGCCTGCACTTTCCTCCGCTTTGGCTAAGACTCTCAACGCTCTTGTATCACCGCACGTTTCTCCAAAATGTGTCAAAAGTCTAACGAATAGTTTCGGCTAGCCACGCAGCAACAAGAGAGAAAAGGTATGCGTGCTTGGCTTAACGCACAGAGCCTCTACACCAACGTGCTGATCGACGATGCCATCCAGGTCGTCCTCGATTACACCCTCATCCATGATCCATCCAGGTCAGCTCCCCGCTTGTCCCAAGGAAAACACTGTCCGAAATTTGAGTGCGGGTCCTAAGAGCGCTTCGTTCAGATGTCATGAGCGCACTCGGCCTTACTAAGCAGGCGGAGCGGCAGCAGGGTCGCCCTCTCGAACCTGTATGCACTAAGCTAAATGTGTTTCAAAGAGGAGAAAGCCCTCCAGCAATTCATTCACGCAGTGCCGTTATGTGGATGACATCTTTGTGGACATAAGTGATGAGAGCCAGCTTCAACTTCCAAAGAGCAAGCTTGAGAAAGCTTCCGTGCTGAAGTTCACCTCAGAGGAGAGTGTCAACAGTAAAATACCATTTCCAGATGTTGACGTGGATGCGTCCGCTGAAAACTTCCTGGGTCAAGTGCGCGGAAGGTCGACAAACACCGGACACTGCCCGAGCGGACGTAGCGAGTGTCCGGGACGCTACAAAAATGCGCTGTCCGCGACTTCATGCATCGGACGTTGAATCACTGCTCCTGAAGATGATGCGACGAGAGCCACAGTGAATTGCAGAAATCCTCGCTAAGGATAGATAACACCGACGCTGTATTGGAAAGACAAATTATAAGACAGATAGCCAAAATCTGCTTACCATTGGTTGACAACCAACAAGCCTGGCAGCCCGCACGCGTTTTTCCTATTTCACACCATTTCGACGTCCTTAAAGCATAAGAGAGTGCTGCGGGACATTATTATCAAGAACAGAAAAGCACGTCAGCTGGAGGACCACATCCAACTAGAAGAATCCTGGTCATGATGAAAACTCTTCGCAAGATCGATCCAAGCTGAAATCTACCGACTTGGTACAACAATTGTAATGCATCACCGGTGACTCTGCGTACCGTTCTGAATGCTACAACGCTGGCCACGCAACAACGTTCTCAAGAAGAACGATCATGTAGCACAGCGACCCTGAGAAACTACTTCGCGCTTTGTCGCGGACACAATGCGGAACTCACACGCAGGTTGTTAGTGGAGAGCGCGGTAGTATTACTGGCGCTGCAGGCCAAGCGGTGCTGTAAAACGCAGAGATAGCAGGAGGGGAGGGAGGCTGAGTTGTGACACATGCTTTCTATTTGCAGAGAACGCCACGGTCGGGGGCGTAGCAGCCGAGTGGTTAATGCGTCCAACTCCCACGTCGGGGACCGGGGTTCAATGCCGGTTGCGCCGCGGTCCCTAAATGCTAGCATGGTCAATGCCGATGTCAGCACTCCGTAAAAGGGGTGTATGCCCGTGCGCTGCGTTCTCCTTAACAAAGAATAGGGCGCCTTTCCTACCGAACCCTGAAATGACTACTGTCGCAGTCTGCGCTCTTAAACGACAGTGCGATAAAGTGCGCTCAATAACAGTTGTGAATTTTGAGGTCAAGAAGACACTTTCCTTGAAAACCTCTAGTGCGCGTTGTCACTGATGATTTATTACAGCTCTCAACTTCCTTTTGAACCAGATCATTTGGGCACCCACATTGTGGTGCCTACCGCTTATAGGGACGAAATGGTATTTAGGGTCATAGATCAAGAGTGGTGAGATAAGGTTTCCTCATCTCACCGAACCCACAAAGGCGTGGAAGTGGTCGGATTCTGGCCGTCCGCTGGCTGCGCTCGGAAGCTGATCGCCTTCCCGCCAGTCACTTAATCGGGACAATGGGCTGCTCTATGCGGACTTTCAGGAGCGGGGACGCGGAACGGATTGAGGCAGGGGTGGGCGCTCGATGGTCACGTTGTCAGTGGTTCTCAGCTTCCAACGGCCGACACTCTTACGTTTGGCGTTTGGATTTATTACGGGATTTGAATTCATTGACGCCTATGCTTTGGTTTGGAGACCACAACCTTCTCGAAATAATTTGAGTTTCTTCAGAAATGCATTGAGCGATAATGTCGCGCTACCTTGGCATCTCGAGGCACGTTAGTGTTTCACTTTAGCCTGCGAAGAGCCAACATGCGCTGATATATGGCCCGTGTCTTGGCGGCTTTTGGCTATGATGGGTATTGTTTCCCTTCAAAGTCACATCGATGGAGGGAAAGATTTCATGTGCATGCATTACTACGTAAAATGATGTATTAACATTTAACCAAGCCGGTGGCTGATGTTCGTAAGGTATCATACAAATGCCTACTGCTTCCTTATAGAGACTTGACCCTGACCGGCCAATAAACGATGATGAGTTGAGTATGCACAAAATGACAAAATAATATTTTTTCAGTTCGTGTCTTCCTTGTTGCCGTGATGGTTCTTTTTGCAGTGAACCAGCTGAAAATTTTTGGTCTAAACACAGACTTACTGATAAGCGAATATCGCTTAGTTGCACTTCCATAATGGAAATGTTTAAGCCCAAAACATTAAAGCTCACTACAAGGAGTTCAACGTACACTATCTAACATAAGTTGTGAGTGTACTTGCGAGGAACATTCCGCATACAGTAGCCATGAGACAGAGCTGGTAGCCTTTTTCTTCATGAAATAGCCAGGTAAAAAGGAGAGACAGATATATCAATATTTCGGAAATTGTCTTTATCAAAACGCATACGAATAATAAATTCAAATTTGTCTGCCGATCCCACTCGATTTTTCATGTTTTCCTTCAACAGTTAACCACAGCTTTTAAAGAAATTCTGTTGTACAACAAAAAATGAAAAATGAAGCGGATTCCATAGGCAATTTTAAATTTACTACTCATTTTCGTTTCGATAAGACATGTAACGAAATATCAATGCATCTTTCTCTGCTTTCTCCTTGTTACTTTACGAGGAACAAGGCTAACAGAACTGTCTTAACTGTAGACATTATGGGATGTGTTCCTGTTTTTTCTGAGTGATATAATAAAGTAACGTACATGTTGGTGACTTTTGCAGATTACGGCTCACCATTTTACTTTAGTAATATTCCAATGCCTATTAATTCCAGCCACGCACCTTACACGACGCGGGGTGCGCAGTTCTCTTCTTTCTATAGGTTATGCGGTCTTATAGAAATTATAGCAAAGCCTAAGCGAACAGAGCGGTTTGAAAATCATGTCAATCGGTCGATCAATGCAGTCCGCCTTTCGTGAGAGTTATCAAGCAGCCGCTCGCCGATCTGGCGTGCGTGCGGAGCGCCTTGTTTTTGAACAAAAGTACCGCTCTTTATTTCGGAACAGAGGCTGCAGGCGGGGATAAACAAACCATTCAGACCACAGGTTGGAGCAGTTGTGCAAACGAACGTTCTGAGCAAAGCTGGTTAAGTTAATTATTGGTAACATACAGACATGTAGCTTGAACTCGGCAGTGACGAGTTGCGTAACCAGCACGAGTGAAATTCCTAACGGGAATAATGAAATATTTTGCAGCGACAGCCCTTGAAACATTTTGCTTCTATCGGTGTTATAAACCATATATATATATTATATATATATATATATATATATATATATATATATATATGCATGAAATACATCATATATAGTTGTGCTGACTCAAAAGGACCTATTTTCATCGCACGTATCCAAGTCTGTCAGAGGATATGTTTGTGACATTGCAGAGACGGAGCAGAAGGCTGGAAATGAGCATGGCAATATTTTAGTAATACGTGACACTAATGTATAACACCGGTATGCATCCCAAAGCGTTGCGGTTCGGTTGACAATGGTCGATGAGAAATGCTTACCTACCGTCCGGGCAGGCCTGGCACTTCAGTCGATAAGATCCTACATTTGTAGTGATTGACCTGGTCTCTTTACGGTGGATTACTGGAGCCTAGAGTCGAGCAGTGTGAACATCGCTTAATGATATGAAGACGGCATATTCTCGCACCCCGTGCGGCCGGGCTCTGGTTAACAAGACCTGGTCTCAGTTCTTGAAAACGCGAACGGGCGGACACACTGAGACCGAGCGCACGTGCCCGGACGCACACCGTGAAGCACACTTTTGACAGA